AGGGAAGGGAAGGGAAGGGAAGGGAAGGGAAGGAAGGAAGGAAGGAAGGAAGGAAGGAAGGAAGGAAGGAAGGATAAAAATGACAAGTTATAGCTAAGTGCTAAAGAAGTTACCCAGCATGTGCAAGGCCTTGGGCTCAATCCCTAGTACCACACATATCACAAATTACTTGATATTAATCCATGCAAAACTTGTTTGAACTATGGATGTAACTCAGGGGCTGAGCACTTGCTTAGCATGTGCAAGTCTCTGAGTCTCATCCCTTACATCTCAAAAAAAAAAAAAAAATACAATGAGAAGAAAACTGCAAAATCAAGATGCTAAGAGTTAAGGACTTTCGTAACAGTTAACTGATAGATAATGCATGTGCTGATTAAACTGACTAATAGATAATGCATGTGCTGATTAAACCGATGGAGTTGTTCTGCAAAGCCTACATGTTGCCGAAGTTCACAGTCTTTGTCAATTTAAGAAGTAAAGTATTCAGTATCTAAAGTAGTAGCTTGGGGACCAATGAATGGGCTCAGCTGATAAAGGCACCTGCCATCAACCCTGACAACCTGAATTCCACCCTGTGTTCCATGAGGTGGACCTTCACATACATGCACATTTGGTCAACTCTGCACCACACACACACACACACACACACACACACACACACACAGAGAGAGAGAGAGAGAGAGAGAGAGAGAGAGAGAGAGAGAGAGAGAGAGAGAGAGAGAATGAATGAATGAATGAATGAATGAATGAATAAGGAAACACTTTGAAGTACCATCTTAGAAGCCTCTTGCTTGTGTGTATTTTTCAATTTTGAATTCCTAGATTGCTGCATGAGTATAGGCCAAATCCACATGTTGCATTTCTTTTCTCCAGCCAGTGTCCCCATGCTTTGAGAAGAGTTAAGACCTTAACAAAATTGTATTGGGCATATGTATGTTTAACTTACATGTGTATAAATATACAGCAGAAACCATAAATAACACAAACCAAAGCCTTTTTCTGCAATGCAGTGTGAAGATAGGCATTTGTACCCTTTCGGGTTTATTTTTAATTTTATTCAAATACACCATTGTTGATCCAAAAATTTACGATTTTCCTTCAAATTATATATTAATTATCACAATTTCTTACTTTCTCATCTGTCTAGAAGAGCTATATAAAGACACCCAAGCGTGTGCACATGCACCCTCAGCTGAGCTGCATTTCATCTCATCTTCCAGAGAACACCATTTTCATGGCCATCCCTTCCCCTTTCCTAGCCATTTGCTTTTTAAGACCATCCATGTGTTCAGCCCCAGTGACCATAGTGGGGCTGGCTGCTCATTTCACTTCTGCCATCGCTGCTATCCACTGATCACCATGGCTAATCAGACGGCACGCCAGCCTGCACCAATCATTAAGATGACCCAAATTAACAGTCCAGCCATGTCACAGTACATTCATTCCACATACACAGACATGGCCTAAGTATGAGGCAGAAACCTGCACGTGCTTATCTGTGTTTGCACTGTAGCTAGTTTTATTGATTATCATGATATGCTTTGGCACTTAAAATCTGCAAATGGGAATCATTTCTGAATTATTCCAAAGACAAAGCGGATGTGCCTTTTCCTCCCAGCCATTCCCTTCATTTGTCTTTTTCCCTCCAGTTGGATTGTAAAACACCACAGCTTAACACATGCTCAGCTCTTTACTTAGAAGGGACTTTTAATCATATTAGTTTTCTATCTTAAAAGAGAAACTCATTTTTTTTTCCTAGCCAGGTAAACAGGGCAGCGCAGACTCAGAATTGTGAGTTCATCATCAAAATTTTGTGACCCAGTTGTCTTGTAGATGGTAATGGTAGTCAGTAAAACTCAGTTCTTAACGGTTATACAAGCAGCCTTATCTTAACCACAGCTATGACTGTTGGCACCTTGCAATGCCTGGTGTAAATTTATCCTCCAAATATTTGCATTCTCGATAGTCATTTTTCTACAATACAGTCTAATAGAGGGTCCCATTACCTGCTAAATGTTTGCATAAATTATCAATCCATTATGCACAGTAAGTTTTATAAAACATTTACAGATAGAGATCATGTTTAATTAAAATTAACTTCCATATGTAAGCCAAGTGTGCACTAATGATTCACAGTGACCTTTTATTACCTATAGTCCCTTGTTTTGGATGGATGATTGACAGCTTGCTGTTTGGCTACCATGTTGAATTTTAGCTGACAAGACTTTTCATTTTAACTCAATTTGCCCGCCTATCGCAAGCTGGTGGCAGGCCAGACCCCAGTCACCCAGCTTTGCCTCGGCAGCTCGCTCTAGTTCTCATTAGTACGCATTTATTCAGTGGGAATTGGGAGACAAATGCTTGAAGGCATGTGAACTAAGTATAGCAAATGAGGTTTAAAGACTGAATATTTATAAGTGTATGGAAAGTTGGTTGTTTTTTTTTTTTTTTAATTCTAGAGCAAATTGAGAACCAAGTGCTAGCTTTAGTATAAAAGAAATGAAGATAGAAGGGGGACAATTCTAAGAATAAAAATACTATAAGCCTTTTCTTTCCATTTTGGAAATATGTAAAATCTCTCTGACAACACCTTATCAAATAAAAACCTGGCTTCTCTTTCACAGAATGCTTGCACAATGAAGTTTAGCACCCCGTGCGTGAGAAGGGGGAAAACTGAGGGTCATGTTCATTTGTTGCTTGGTTATCCCTTGGTATGTTTTAAACTGCCTTGTTTGTTCGGCACTAGCGCAGAAACAGATGTTGCTCTACCGTGCCGGATAATTTACTGTACCTCCTGGTGTAGCATGGAAGTCCTCCCAGGGCCCAGCTGGTCTGTCAGTGGCACTGGCTGGTGTCTGCTCAACTATGACAGCGACAAGGAGAAGCTGTAGGTTTTTTTGTTTTTTTGTTTTCGTGGTACCATTGTCATTCTTCTCAACCTATAGTTCTGCCCATGCTCATTCTGGGGCCGGTGGAAATGCGGCTGGCTTTTGTGTCTCGGTGCTGTGCCGCAGACCCCAGAAGCTCCCCTCTCCACTGGCGATAATAACACAACTCATTACTTTTGTCGCCTAATGATTATCGGCATGATCGCTCAGAGCAAGAGCCAACCTCGTCTTGCACACATAACTGGTACTGGAAGGTAAAACAGATTTGTCACTTACGATCTGACTGCTGAGCCACACTTTCAGCTCCATTATTGTGATTAACTTCTGCATAAGATATGCTTGCCCAATTGTCATTTGTGATACTGCAGTGGGCACAAGCTGCCATGCTTCCCAGGAGCACACCAGCCAATCGGATATGACTGTGTTATTCGGACTGTTAAATGCCTACCCTTGTCACAGCAGCCACCCCAAGCATTATTTTGCTTTTGTATTTCTTCTTCCCACACCCTACTGGACTTGTTGTGTGAACAGAACTACTACATATGCCAGCTACTATTTCATACCACATGTTAAAATGATGCCATACTATTGTTGGTCCAACAGGGCCAGCAGCAGGACATGGAAAGTGGATCCTTGATTTTCACCATAGAAATGTTGGTTGTTGGTGTCTTGCCAACTGAAATCTGTTATGTCAGGTGCCTTGTGGCTATCTGCAGTAGAGTCCATGTTCCAAAACCAAAGTTCTTTTCTAGCCTCATCACCAGCAAACCGATTTGACTCTGCCTGATTATAATAACGAAGGCAGTCTAAGAGAATATGCACAGCCTCACTGTACGTCACATTGAATCACCACACTGCCCACACAGAGCTGACCGCAGCCTCATTTCTTTAGACAAACGCATGCTTAAGGAAAAACCTCCTGGGAGAAGGCACCCAAAGCTACTACATGTCCCTGTACAAGCTGTTCATAGGTTTACATTTTACCAAAATAATGTTTATTTCTGTGTTGTTGTTTTTTTTTCTGTATACAAGCCCCCAATAATGGGTCTGCCTTTAGTAATCTAATAACTGGGAACTGGCTGACAGGGCTGTGCTCGGCACCAAGAAACTAGGCTCTGAACATGTGTATGTGTGTGTGTGTGTGAGGTTTCTAAATTGCAAGTCATAAACACAATCATTTATTATCATGTGAAAGGGGGGAAGCTCCATTTGGAGCTCTTTCACATTGCTGATTAGAAAGAATCAAGCTTTATATTCCAGGATCCATTCACGCTGGTGGAAACATAGTCAGTTTTGATTATGAAGGGAGAGATGCAGCCCTAGACAGGAGCTACACACTGATATGCATGCTATCAGAATGATTTATGCAAATTATGCATATTATTCCCAAAGGAATTCCTCCTCAAACTGCCAGGATAAATCGCCGGAAATTAGCCATAAAATCTGCCGTGCTAGGAGCAAAAGGTGAAGGCCACTGGGATAGCAAGGACATTCGGCTTCTGGAATCTTCCAGGATATGATGATGGTGAATGTTATTCTCCCTGGACAGTGAGGAAAAATGTGGTTTTCTTCCTAATCCTATAAAAATGTGTTCCTTGAAAATTTTCCAGCAAATGCTGACTCATTTTATTTACAGCTAGCATAAGAGAAATTAAGTGTTAAGCTGTCTCCAAATGTACCTACTACAATTACTTTCTTGTTAACTGCCTAAATGCTATTAAGTAGCTAAGCCTGGCTTTAAAGGCATCACTCCTCTAAAGACTGGTGAAGTAACCCTCCAGTAGTGTGCTGTGAGAAGGGTATAGCTTCACGTTACTACGTTTGTGCTCCTAACAGATGAGTCCTTTCTTGGAGACCGTTCCTTCTTTCCTCTGTCCATAGACAGCACGGCTACCTCCTGCCTGTAAATCCTCAAACGATGTTGGGGCAAAGCCACCAGGTTCTTTACTCTCAGCATCCACAGCGTCATTGACTCTCTCTTAGGTCTCAATGAATGTGAAGAAATTATTTTCCTACCAGGCGAGGTTGTTGTTAATGAGTTCCAACAGCCAACAGAGACAGCTTCTCAAAGCACTCACTCATGTTACAAGAGCTGTTGTTTGTTTTCCTCAGAAAGCACCATTCTCGAGGTCCTGCGGCTATGCTCCTACTCCACCATCTTTCGTGAAGTGCAAGAGGATATGAATTTCAACTCAGAGACTAGCAGTTACTGTCTGCGGAAGGGAGACTTTGTGGCCATCTTCCCTCCAATCCTACACACTGACCCAGAAGTCTTTGAAGCTCCAGAGGTAAATAAGCATCATGTCGGTTATTGCTGCCGGTAAGCAAGCTCACTCCTGCATCCTTTAGCAAATCTCTCACTGGAGATTTGAGGCAGCTTGCTGATGGCTTCTCTATTTCCCTCTAATAGGAAAATTTTTGCCTTTACAGAAGTTTTTTTTCCCCCCTAAGAATCTGCCTTTGACAGGTTGTGTGTGGTCTGTGAACAAAAATTCAGATAAGTCTAAATGCTACTTAATTCAAGTGAAATGGACATTTTACCCTAGTCACCATTACTTTTAGCCACTGAATTAGAGTCTCTTTGACAAGGAATTACTGAAATCCAAGAGGGCTAGCTACTGATATGTGGCATAAAAATTAAATAATAATAACTAGTTTTCTAAGCTCTTCTAAAATGAAGCTACTTCAGACGTCAAATACCATCATCACTATAGTTAGGACCAAATAGTAGTTAAGCCCTTTTAGTTAAAGGTATGTGGCCCTGCTTGATCAATTAGCATGGCACTATGAACTTCAAATTGTAAAGCCGCTGCTCCCGGGTGAAGCTCCGAGGGTAATTGTGTCATCTCCTTGTATTTTTTTTTCTGAAGCTAGAGTTAATGAATATCAAAGACTGGAAATTAATCCACCTTGGTTCATCCCTTAATACCACTTCAGAGAGTCATCCCCTGCATGCAAATTGACTGCAGTTATAGTCTGCTTGTGCTTGACAGAAAGTGATGGTGCTGACTTGTAACATTTACCATCCACCTTTTTAGAAGGAAACTTTCATCCTTCTTTCAAATACTTCATAGATGGACCACTTTTAAACACAGGTTCGAAGATAGATGTTCTGCAGCCAACCTGAAGTATAATATTATTGAATTTAGGAAATTAATAAAACCTCAGAAACAGTGAAATGATTTGTATTTATTTAACCAGCAAAGCCAATGTCTTATTACAGGGGCAAGTGTGCATGGTTTCTTAGGCGAGGCATTATGCAGATAATGACAGCGGAGAGGATGTAGAGTTTCAGCCAATGAATGAGCGTTCTCCAGAGATCAAGCTGCATCTCTGCATTTGTGAATCATTCCAGTTGCTAGTATATAGTCAATGAATAACACAGCTGAAATTAATATCTGAAAAAATATTTGTAAAGGTTAAAATAGCAACACTTCTTACAATTTTTCACTTCTGCTTAATGTTTTCTTTGTGATTATTTGATTAGTAGTGGAGTTTATTACTCATGTCATGAGAGTTAAATCAGAATTATTGTTTTCATCAAATAAGAAATGTTCACCAGATTGCTACCATCTTTATGAGTACCTTTCTTTGTGCTTTTTCTACCTCTCACTCTTCTACACCCTTTAAAAAAATCTGATTGATAAACTTTGAAAAATCTGATTGATAACTTTGAAAAATTTGAAAGCCAAAATTATACATTATGAGAGTTAGGGTCAGGCATGATAGTAGAAAGGCCATCAGATCTCCGTATGCTTGAAGCCAACCTGGACTACACAGCACATTCCAAACCATCCATGGCTACATAGAAAGACCCTGTCACACACACACACACACACACACACACACACACACACACACACGTGTATCGAAGGAAAAAATTATAAGTGTTGATTAAGGAGCAGTGGTGTGTATCCATAATCTGGCATTTGGGAGGTTGGTATAGGATATCAGCAAGTTCAACCCCAGGCTTGACTTATAACAAAACTGAGAGAGAAAGACCAGAGGTAGGGGGGTGGGGGCGGTAGGGGGTGGGAGGCAGGAAGAGGGAGATGGAGGAGGAGAAGTGAGGAAAGGGACTGAACTGTAATTTGTATATATGTCGCTCTGTGGAATGCAGACATTACACAAATGACATTAACAGTAAACAAAAGGTTTACCTCATACTAAATCAGTGGGAGAATAAAATTTCATTATTGTGAACAGTGATTTAAAATCATTAGGATCGCTCTAACGAGACTCAATGGAGTATTATTTAGTAGGTTTTAGCATTATTCAGTTATACCTGACTTGTGTTAGGATTAGAGAATTTTTGCTACAGTGTTATTGTCTTGAAATTAGTTGTGGAATGATGATCATTCTTTGTACAAAAACAAAAATATGATTTGGAGCTATTTAATCTGATTTTACCAGTTATTATTTATTCTATAAAGATTTTCTAAGCCCATACCACTGCCAAGGGATACATAACTGCATTTTCTTTGGTTCTTAAGATGGCAACAAGAACCCATAATAGGAACTTGGGTTCAGATGCCCATGCCAAACCACCATCTACTAGCAGTAATGAAAAGTCTGAAAATCATATCCTGGGCCATTTGGCACTGAAGTCACGGCCCCTGAGTCCTCAAGAGACCCCTACTCCTCACTATAGACTTTATACCCTTCAGACTTTGATTGGGAAGACTAGGAATTACAGCTAGAAGAGAGGCAATAACTGAGCCAAAAATCTGAGGCTGACTGGCTCCAAATGCAAGTTTCCCAGCTCTAGGAACCTAAAACCCCAGGATCCTCAGCCCATCATGGGTTCTGAGCACAATAAAGTGTGGTTTCAGAATATCTGAATATCACTCCCCAAAGCATGCCATGCTTCTCCTTCACACATTCATCACTTTGGTACCTGTACCGCTCTGCTCCTGAAATGCCCCCCATTACTTATCTCTCTGTTCAGGGAAACCCCATCCTTACTTGCCTACCCAGAAAATTCCAAATTCCTCCACGATCATCACCTCTTTGAAAACAAGCAGTTTCCACCAAATTTGTGAGAATGTGTCACTGCCCATTTGTTGCCTACATGTGCTTTTGCTATAGTGCATGCCAACAGGGTATTACTACCTTGCAAATGTCAAGTATTTTGCAGCTACTTACTCAAGGGTGGTCCTGCCAACAGAATACTATCCATGTAAAGTGATTAAGGAGATATAAAGATGAGTGAATGCAATGAAAATGAAACTATGTATCAGTTAAGAAAAAGAGGTACACACTGAAATATGTACTGGATGCAAATAGAGTAAATTAATAAGTAGCTTGAACACAAATATAGTCATACTACTAAGAATGTTAAGAACAATAGTGAAAGGACACCTGATGTGGCTGGAGAGATGGCTCAGTCTTTAAGAACACTTGCTGGTCTTGCAGAAGACCCAGGTTCAGTTCCCAGCACCTACATGGAAGCTCCCAACCATCTGTAATTCCAGTTCTGGTGACTCTCTTCTGATCTTGTCGGATACCAGACACACAGGTGGCATACATAAAATAAAAAAGACACACACACACACACACACACACACACACACACACACACACACACACACACAGAGAGAGAGAGAGAGAGAGAAAGAGAGAGAGAGAGACAGAGACAGAGAGAGAGAGAGAGAGACAGAGAGACAGAGAGACAGAGAGACAGAGAGAGACCCCTAGAAGGCATCAAAATGCCACAACTGGGCAATCCTTGACCTTCAGCCATTGCAAACATTAAGAATAGTTTTTAAAGATTTTATTTAAATGGATTTTAAAGAACCTGAAAAAATTGACTTTGAGATGAAACTGAATTTTTAAATATCCAGAAAACTAAAATTTCAAGCAACATGGGATAAACAAAATGTGTTCTGAAATCCTAATCTGGCCTATAAACTACCAACATGTAACTAGTATATTAAGGATTATTCTTTTTCTCAATATGGGCTCCTTATCTTGTGACATCTCACATTTGGATGGCTCCTGTCAGTGTATGAAAACATACAGGCAAATGAAACATGCACAATGAGAGTGAACCAAAGGGAACAGCCCTCCTTGGCTCTCTCCTGCTTTAGAGGTAGACACACTACCCAGCAAAGTCTGGGTAATCTGTTACTTGCCTAGCAGTGAGCTGCTTATTAAAGTTTTTCTAAGATCTTCCCTAAATTCACCACTGTTATAGGCCAGAAATCATACAACTGGCCATCAAGTAATGGGAAGGAAATAGTGGTGGTTTCTCTTCTACCAGGAAGCCCAGAACTGGAGCTATGGCATGAATTAATGCCATAGGTCCATTTTCCTAGGTCCAAATATGGTCAAGAATAGAGAAGCCTGTTGACAGTGTTAGGATATAGGGAACACACAGCACCATTTAAGATGTCACAATCACCATGCAGCTCCCGAGGTAAAGACAGAAAAGCACAGAACCTTCAGAATATTCTATAAAAGCTCTGCTATTACAAGGTCTTGTTTAACCTCATGCAGTGTGTCCCCATCTTCAGAAGGCTGTGGGTGTAATAAAATGCTAAATCAATTTGAAAGTTGCCAATCACTATGGGAACCTCAATGTCAGGATTATTTTAATTATCCTCACTGTTCTTAGAATAGACCAGTTATCACAGGTGAGTAAGTAAGGTAAACAAATGATTCTCTGTCTCCATCAAGAATAGAGATTGTGCACTCAGTAGAGCTCAAAGAACCAAACACTTAATGAGCTGCTCTTTTCCCAGCAGCCCTGTGATAACATCAGGTGACAGAGAAATAAAAGTTCCCCTTGTCCTTTATTGTTTACCATACAGATCTTATCACATGGCTTTCCCCCATAGCCAGGTGCTTTATATTAAGGGAGTTTCTGCCATGCCAGCAAACTGACATTTCACACCTACCATGTTGAAACCCTTGGTGTCCTGGTGAAACAGTTTTGAAAGATCTAATCTGTAATATTGATTAACGGTTTCTGGTGCAAACACTACTGTACTGGGGAGGTAACATGTTACTATCATGAAGACTCTGATATAGAACCTGGGAGATTTGTGCACACCCTCTCAGAAGCTAACACTAGCTGGCAACAACTCCTAGTTGATTTGAATCCAGATCATGGAGGTACAAAAAAGACTTCTCTGCCATATTGTCCTGTCTCCAGGAAGACTGGAATCCAGGGCCATCACTGGAGTCCCCTTAGCTTTTCCAAAAACTGAAAGTTTTTTGTTGTTGTTGTTTTCATTACTAGAAGGTTGTATCTTTTGTCTAATTTAGATTTCTATAGTCAAGTCATGAACTGAGTGAACTAAAGATATGAACATATCAAGTGTGCCACCTCAGCAGGACTGTACTTTATGCCTTTGTATTAGCAATGTTTCTTATACAGGAAATACGTTTTAAAAACTCTGTTGAACTGAACTAAACATAGTATTCAGAAAGCACAAATGAGGTGGTTATGCGATTCTCCTATGTCGTGTATATGAAAAGTTCCTCTCCTCTGGATCCCAAAAAGTGCATCTCCTATCCAAACTGGACTTCAAATGCTTCGGTGTTGCACATTTTCTGCTCTTTGTATACTCTGAATATGCACCCACTTCCCATTCTCTGTATGCTCACGCCCACATTCAGTCATCTTATCTTTTCTTCAAGAACATGAATGTGGCTTTAACAGTAGGCATGACCATCCTTTGTTCATTAGTCCAAGAAGCATATGTGGAATCCTGCCATGGGAGTGTCACTGTACTAGAGGCTGTGAAAATGCAGAGGCAGACTAAGACGACACTGGGGTTCCCTCACTCTGCCATTTTCTGTGAGCTGGTGCTAACTGCAGTTTGTCTTGTCACCTGTGTATGACGAGGTCCAGAGAAAGGCTGATCACAAGCCCTTGGTTTCTGGGCTGCTTTCTTTCTAAGCAAAGGACTTCTGGAGGTCCCCACAGACTTTTCTTTTCCTCTGTGCCATTGGCCAGATTGCTTCAAATTCCTAGACCCCAAGTCAGTTAGAGGTTGTTATGCAATTCATTGAGCGTGACCACCTCCAGGACATACCAGTAGAACACCTAGTGGGCACCAGGCAGGTGTGGTGGCTTTCATATCCACTCCTGTTTCCAACACCGTAGGGTCACTTGGAGGCTTTAAATGATTGTGTCAATACTGAGTTTGAGTGGAGCTTGCTGGCCTTTGCTTTACATTACTATTATCCCAAATAGCTCAGGTGAGATTAAATTATGCTTCCTTTTAGGAGCTAAAACTAAACATAACTCCCTAATGGAGATCATAAGCCTCCCCAACATGGACCTATCCAGGTTCTCCATGCATAGGCAGTGGAACAAACAAAATGAATCATTACTAAAATTTATTTTCATCGGGCGGGGGTGGCACACGCCTTTAATCCCAGTACTAGGGAGGCAGAGCCAGGCGGATCTCTATGAGTTCGAGACCAGCCTGGTCATAGTGTTTCTAGAGAAGGAGAGGTATTACATGAAACCCTCTTCTGGTGAACTTCTTCCATTTCTGGGGCTCACACCTGCCTTTCTTAACTCACCACTGATGCATTCTTCTTCCTGTTGACCAATTTAAGGAGATTAGCACTCTTTCCTACAGCTTCCTGCTAAGGCCAAATAGTTTAAGAAAATTTTGACATGAAAAACAATCCCTGGGAAAAAAATTCACTGTAGTTCTGGCATTTGTGCCAGAAAAGGCAAAAAAGAAAACAACATAAGTTGTGAATTCATAGTATCCAGCTAGTGTAAATAAAATAAGCCCCATGATACCAAGGATGCCCAGGCTCTTCTCAGTGACCTCAATGGCTGCCCTGTGAGAAGCTAGGGAAGCTTCCTCAAACTTCTCACTGATCACTATGTTACTCTTCTAGCTTTCTGTCATCTTTTTTCAGTCTCCTCAGAATTAAAATCTCAGAAATTTCCATTTTATTGTTTATTTAGTAAAGCTCAGAGGGAAACTATCAGTAGCATTTACTCTGTGGCTGTCATGATGAGAGCATAAATATATAAATTTGAATAAAATTTGAAAATAATTTTTTTGGGTGTTTTGAGACAGGGTTTCTCTGTGTAGTTTTGGTGCCTGTCCTGGGTCTCGCTTGCTCTGTGGCTGTATGCTCACAGAGAATACCGTTGCACTGACTTGCATGTTGGGAGAGAGTAGGAACTGTGCAAAGTTTTTCAAAATTCAAATACTTAAGAAGTTTAGTATTCTGGATTAAACTAAGGTAAACCCAATACTGATAAAGGAAATTATTGGCTTGGCATTACTAAACTTGCCATTAAAATAGTTTGAGCATTTGTGATGCATTCATAATTTAGTCACATTATAGAGTTTCACCATAACCTGAAACATGTTGGATCTGACCTACCTCTATAAGTTTGACATCATGTAGTTTACATCAAAGTTGTGGTTGAGCAGATCTAATGAGCTCCATCTATTGGAAATAATTGGTTGTCTTAATTCAAACCATGAACATTAATTTAATTGATGGTTTAATTCATGTTGAACTAAAATAAGGTCACTCAGTACCTTTTAACAAACTCAGGGGAGAGTTGAGCCAGGACATTTTAGCAGACTGGCAAAATTAAGGCTGCTGGTAAACTATCCTAAATAAACCAGCTCTCTAACTTTCTGTAGCAAGTATTATAACTTATTTATGAAAATATGTCAGAAATGCCTGTTACCTAAAATTAATCCAAGCAGAGTGCACTCTAATAGAAAATGTCATAGGGGAAATTCACATTAACATAGAAAAAAACCAAATATGTTTTTCAGCTTATGTTCTCTCTGGGGCTTTGTTTGAATTTTATTTTCTGTCTCTTTAATCCAAGCAATGAACTAAATTCATGATACTCATTCATCAATAGATAGATGGGGGGATAAATGAATAGCAAACTGGCTGCTGAGATGTACTACTTCATAGTTACAATGGCAGCAGTATAGGAGACCCCTTCTACCCATAATTGGTATATCAATAGTCTATGTGTCAAGATTCATCATAGAGGACAGAAATGGAGATAGATGTAGCCTTTGTGCTTAAAAAACTCACTGTAATCACAGTGATTTGAGTACTGAGTGTTCCCTCCAAAACTCAGCCTGAAATCTGAATGCCATTTTGGTGGTTAGGTTGTTAGGGTTAAGGCCCTTTTCATGTTAGTTATCACTTTCTTGACACCATCTTGGCTACCAGAAAAGTGGGTTATTGTAACAATAGACTGCCTCTCTTATTTTCACTCTTCTAAATGCACCAGCTTGTTCTGTGGTTTTCTATTGTGAGGAACGGATCAAGGCCCCATTAACACCAGGCTCTTAAACTTTTTGGACTCTAGAATCATGAGCTGAAATCAATGTGTGTGTGTGTTTTTTTTTTTTTTTTTTTTATCAATTATCCGGCCTCCAGTAGTTAGTGACAGTACAGAAGACTAAGGAAGAAAAGACAAGACAAATGTGAACAGAGAAGAAAAGTGGTTTAGGTATTTGAATATAGGTGTTCCCTGTAACATTTTAATTTTTTGAAGGTTTGAACATGGCTTTCATGTATTCGAGTTTTACTTCCTCCTGTATGCTTTCAGACAAAAATCAGCCTTGCACAACAAGATAGACAAGGAGAGATAGCAACCTGATGAACCTAACTCAAACTAGTTCCTGTAAAATTTTAATTTTAACAATGTCTATTATTCTTTATAGGAATTTAGGTTTAATCGATTCATAGAAGATGGCAAGAAGAAAACAACCTTTCTCAAAGACGGGAAAAAGCTGAAGTACTGTGTTCTGCCGTTCGGATTCGGAGCCAGCAAATGTCCAGGCCGATATTTTGCAGTTAATGAAATAAAGCTACTATTGGCTATGATTTTAACTTATTTTGATTTAGAAATAGTTGACAAGAAGCCTCTAAGACTCAAGTACAACCGTTTGTTGTTCGGTATTCAGCATCCCGATTCTGATGTCTCATTTAGGTACAAGGCAAAATCTTGCCAAATCTGAAAGGGTGGCAAAGAAGTTTATCAGAGTGGAGCTACATGTGCTGAGCTCCGTGGTTTGATGTAGTCCTGCAAACGCAACTACTATGTTTGTCTGTTTGAAAATGGCAAATTTATATTTGATCCGAGATCAATTCAGTTTGTTCTTGGTGACAAAATCTATCATAAAATACAGCAGGGCAGTGGCATAAAAAAATGTCATGGCAATCATTTCAGGATAAGTTCAAAGTAACAATTTCAACTTTGTTCTTACTGCATTTTTTTTATCATTTGTTGTGAATGTGCTTTTCCAGTAATAAATTTGGCCCTGGATGATATTTTTTAAGTTACTGAAATCCTCTAATATGATTTTATGTTCTGCCGGAAAAGTGTGCCATTGGACAGTCTAACAATTTCCAAATTCTCAGAGGAAAAGGAAATTAAATCCCACAAGTTACACTGTATGAAAATGTTCCCTTCAAGTAGAGTATCAAAAATGTCCTATCACTGGGGTACCTTTGCATTAAATGAGTTTTGCAATAGATTAAATGTTCCAACTTCCCTTCAATATTTAATCATTCATAAATGCTCTTTATAACTTTGTATTCTACAGCTCAATAGAACAAAATTTCTTGTTATTTAAGACCTCTCATGTTCAAGTTAGATACTGTTAAAATTTAATATATAAGAAAACACAAAGGCTATTATATATTCAGCAATTGCTTGAGACATTAGTATTAGGTTTATTATGGAGGGAAATGTTGAAGTCATTATAGCATTGATGGTAGTATTGGTCTTTAGTATAAATTGTGTTATTCTAATACTGCAATGAACCCTTTTCTAAATGTTTCCATTTATATAAACTGGGAAATTAGATAGTACTATTTATCTACAACCTTTTGGACTTAGAGGTTAGTTGTATTATTTTGGACAAGCACATTAAACTATACAAAATAATTTCATATGACACAATATAGCCTGTATCAATGATTAAAAGATTTCTACTATCAAATTTCCCAGTGATTGACATTTGGCATAAATGGAGATACAAAATGCAAACTCACAGGGCAAATAATTAAGCCAGATTAATTCATGCTGCATTAATTAGAAATTTTAATGCTTTGGGAATTTTCTATTGGTTTTACAAAGGAAATTGATTTAAAATATCACTCTAAAATACCTTTCATACTAGGTAAATACAACATGGTAGCATTTCTTTTCTCCTTTCTAAAGCATATGCTCATTGAATGGTGCTTGCATGAAGGTTTACTGGCATGAATTCTGTTTTTGCTTGATTGAGGTTGCTTTATTTTCAATTTCCTTCCTTTATTAAAAAAATTGCCAAATGACCATTTATAACTACATAAATTCACAGAACACAAAGTGAGGTTATGGCTTATGAAAATGATGTGGAATGATTAGACCAACCCAAATGATTAAATCAACTCAGATACTTAACACCTGTTGTAAGAATATTTGAGGTATAGTCTCTTAGCATCTTTTAGCATACAGTGCTCTCTTGTTAACTATATTAACAAGGCAATGTGCTAAAACCTTTCCCACATCCCCCAAGAAGACCATGTTCCTCCTGGCTGAGATTTTTATACTTTTTGATCATTTCTCCTACACTTCCCCAACCTCCATAATCACCATTTTCACTCTGTACTTTGGTAAGTTTAATTATTTTGAATTTCATGTATTCTAATTTTTTTCTTGCTATGACAAGAACATTGTGGTCAACAGTAACTTGTGGAGAAAAGAATTTATCAGGGGCCACACATCCAAATTACAATCCATTACTGAGGTCAAATCAAGGCCAGAACTCAAGGCAGGAACCTGATACAGAAACCACAAAGAAATGCTGCATACTAGCTTGCTCACTGGCTCATTCTTAATTAATTTTCTTGTTGGCCAAAGTCCACCAGCCCAGGAAATGGTAGAGCCCATAGGACCTGGACCCTGCCAAATTAACCATTAAGGCAATCTTTCATAGACATGGCCACAGGCATCTGATGAAGGCGAATCTTCAATTGAGGTTCCCTCTTCCTAGATATTCTATATTGAACCAAGATGAAATTAAATTAAAGCAAATACATGAGGTAGAGTACCTGGTATTAGTCTATCTCTGCTTGGTTCTACTTCACTTAATGTTCTCTAAATCTCTCTATGTTGAATCAAACAACAGAATTTGTTTTGTTAAGGCCAAGCACTATTCCATCACATGTACATACCACATTGCCTCTATTCCTAGGCTTTCTCTAACCACCCCTACCTCCTCCATACAATTTCATGACACCCTTCGTTTTCCTGAAAACAAAGGACATGTGTGATGTCCCATCCTCAGGCCCATCTGACCCTCTTCCTTCGGAGAGTCTCTCTGGTTGATTTGGACCCACCAACTTGTCGGCTTTCAAATTTTCCATCTCATGTAATTTCTAAGTTCAGTGATTGAATGTCTCAGTTGATAATTCTTCGTTCTTCCTTTCTACCTGGTCATATTTTGTAAATCTTGTTCCTCTAATGTACCTTCACTGTCTCTTTAACTATAGTCGGCATGGTTTATATTCTGTACCTGGCATCTCAAACCCACTCTTATTTTATGGATTTGATTCTGTAGTCCCCCTTTCCCGCAGTGCTTCTGATGGCTTAACTACTGAGCCTCTGTTCCTTGTAATTTTACTTCTGAAAAGTGTTTTTGACCGGGGTTTAATGTCCATTCCTCAACGTATAACTTGTGTTTGGTTTTTGTCTTACTGTTTATGTTTCTGTCTAATTCAGATTACTGGGAATGCTCACCTGGAATATTTGGGAGGTGACATGGTACACTGCTAAGTAACTGTGAATTCCAGCCTTAAATGAAACACTGTGATTAAGGGTGTTTGGTTTTGTTTGGGGTGTTTGCTACGGTTTTGTTGTGTGTTTGCTTGCTTACTTGTTTGTTTGTAAGATAGGGCCTCATTATGTAGCAAAGATACATTTACCAAGGTCTGCCTGCCTCTGCCTCCTGGGTGCTGGGGTAAAACTTAAAACCCATGATCAGGAACAGGCAGGTGGACCATTTGATTGCTTCTTTGTTTCAACCAGACACAGATTAAGACATGAAAATATGTCTAATCCTGCACTGTAGAGCAATGTTTCTAGTCCACCCACCAAATATGTTGGCTCTGAAAATTACTGACTCTGTGCAGAAGTCTTGGATTTTATACACACACATATACACACACACACATGCATGCTTATGCCATGTTGAGCCCTAGACTTTCTCTCCTACCTGCCACAAAATACAGTCTATTTCATTTGTATTAGGATATGGAGTCTGCCTTGATATCTGAATGGATATCCTCCATATTGTAAAATTCAACAAGCAGTATACTTTCATGATATTGCAGCAGAGAAAACCACAAGAAATTATTGCATCCTAACTTCTGCTTAATATATACTTAAAAGTGTATATACAAATTTTAAAAAAATAAAAAGAATGATTGAAGAACTATTATGTGAAATAATTAGAAAGAAGCGAGGAACATACCTGCAACCTTAGCTTTCGGGAGGCTGGGATAGTAGGAGCCTCAATTCTTAGAATAAAGTGAAACCCTGATATTTACCAAAAAAGAAAGAAAGAAAGGAAAGGAAAGGAAAAGAAAGGAAGAAAGGAAGAAAGGAAGAAAGGAAAGAAGAAAGAAAGAAAGAAAGAAAGAAAGAAAGAAAGAAAGAGAGAGAGAGAGAGAGAGAGAGAAAGAAAGAAAGAAAGAAAGAAAGAAAGAAAGAAAGAAAGAAAGAAAGAAAGAAAGAAAGAAAGAAAGAAAGAGAGAAGAAAGGTCATGGGATCTAGCTGCCTTATTATCATCAACACATGTGAACTTACTTTGAAAAGAGAATTAGAAAGTTTAACAGACACTTAAGCAACTTTTTGTCTTTTAAAAGTTATTTTGGGGGCGGGGGAAAGGGAAGAGAGATAGCTCAGCACTTAAAAGCACTTGCTGCTCTTCCAGAGAACTGAGTTTGGTTCTTAGCACCCACAGTAGGCAGCTTATAACTCAAGCTCTAGGGGATCCAACACCCTTTTCTGACCACCGTGGCTACCCACACACATATGGCATTCATATATGCAGACATAAGCACATACTCAAAAATAAAAAATCTTTTTATTTTTATTAGTTCTTTGGGAATTTTGTACAATGTTTTTTGATCATATTCCTCACCTTCCCCCAACTTCTCCCAGATGCATCCCCCTTGCCTACCTGGCCAACTCTGTGTCCCCTTTTTCCATCAGGTACAATTTGTACTGCCCTTATAGTCTTGGGTGTGTGGCCTTACTGGAGCTTGGTTGATCCACCAGGGGCAAGACCCTTAGAGAAACTTCCATTTCCTTTTCCCAGCAACTATCAGTTTCCAGTTGCAACTTAGCTAGGAGTGGAACGGGACTCCATTCCCATCTCCCACAGGTCTTGTACATGCTGTTACAGCCACTGTGGTTCATATCTTCAACTGTACTGGAATATCCAGTCAATACTGTTTTCTAGTAGTCATCAACTAGCCCTGGATCTCACAAACTCTCTGCCCCTTCTTCTGCAATCATCCCTGAGCCTTGAAAGGAGGAGTTGTAATACAGATGCTCCACTAGGGCTGAACATTGCACAATCTGCTATTGTCTGAACCTTGACCAGTTGGGGTCTCTGTGATAATCACAATCTATTGGAAAAATAAGTTTCACTGATGATGGTTGAGAGGTGCATTAATCTATGGGTAGAACAATAAGATAATAGGAGGTTATTTAATACATCATGTTAATTCAGTTGAGTAGTAGGAATAGGTTTTTTCCTACGTCACATGTCATGTATATCCACAAGTTCTTGATTCCAATAACAGTGCCAAGCATGGGTTTCAACTTGTGAAGTGGACCTTAACTCCAACCAGAAAGTGATTCGTTAGTCCCATGGTGTTTGTGCCACTCATGCACCCGTCATTATTGGAGCTCAGCTGGGTAAGATTGATGACTACTTTTCCCCGCTGGTAACACTCCTAGCATCTTCCAGCACTATGAAAGCTAGCAATTGGGAATGAAGTTTCCAGGCCAGCTTGGTTTGTCCATGCTGTGTCTCCCAATTATGTAGTGTCTTTAGAAGTGGGATTTTACTGTCAAATTCTAGATGGTATCCAAGAACATTGCAATAACTGTAATGTTATGGGTCCATGTGACCTTAATGACTAGCAATTCCAAAGGAGGTAACCTATTCTTGGCACTGAGTGGGGCATTTTATTTGTTGTTTCATGGTATATAGTTGGCATCTTGTTGCCTCATGATATAATAACTCCATCAAAAATCATTTTATATATGAGTATGCTTATATTTTAGGAAACTTCTAAAGTAGTAGGTCATGTGTTTGATATGGGAATGTTTTAGAGTTATTGTTTTCTCATTCATTTATTTGAACAAATATTTATTGAGCATTTCCACTAGTTAGATATAATACTGTGCAATGGATTAACATTCCCCTTCATGAAAATCCTTTTTTTGGAGAAAATGATATATCAATAACTTACCTGTTGCCAGTTTGGTTGTAAAGAATAAATTTCTCTTTTTAAAATTATTTTAATACCTGATTTAGTATATCATCTAAATAGCCTTTTCCAGCAACCATTATAAAGTAGTGTTCCATAATAGATTATCATATACAAATTGCACAAGCTAAAATATTTATAGAAGGACTATGGGGTCACCAAGATGGTTCAGTGAATAACTCTGCCTGCACTCAAACCTGATGACCTGAATTTCGTCCCTGGGACCTTACATGGTAGAAAGAATTGACTCCTACAAGTTGTCCCCTGTCCTATATACACACACTCACAATCACACACACATATACAGACACACACACACACACACACACACACACACACACACACACACACACACACACATACACACACACAGGTGTGAATAGACACATACATATAATTAATTAGTACATGGATACATGTAATTTTAAGGTATTGTGATGGTATGATTAAAAAAAGTATAGCCAAAAACAAATAGTCGTTGAGTCTTCAGAATTTTGTAACTATTTCATATATCCTAAATTTTCTTTTCATTTTCACAGCTTCACCCAAGTTTTGAGTAAATGGATATATACTATTGTTTTACATCTGTGACCAAGTATAATTACATATTTGATTGGTTAGCAGAGACTAAATGCCCTGTGAGGCTCTTTAGCACTATTTTTACTAAGTAAGGCACGTTGAAGAGCAAGCTTTACTGGACTTTCCATCTGCTTTGTCCTGGCCTCCCTGACCCTGTTGTTGTACCAGCTGCATTTTTTATCAGATCTTGGGTCACAAAGTGATACTCATAATTCAAATACACACTGTTCATCTGTGCTTATGTCATCGTAAAAAGTTATTTGAATAATATTTCCTTTAAACAGCTTCTCACTTAACAATATAATCTTAAAATTTCATCAAAGACCAAAGCACAAAATATATTCAGGTTTTAACTGTAGAATAGAATGTAACGTACTGTGTAGAGCGTAGTTTCCCAGCTTTAAAATGTGCACTTTGTAACCTGCTGAGTTTGTCAGTGTTGCAAACTCTTGTTTAGTTGTGCTACGTTATTAGGAATTTGTGCGTGAATACTCAATTGGGAAAAAGTTAGCCTGCAAGATTACTCTCTGTAGCACTATTTTGAGTTATAGCGAGCAATTTAATAAAACGGTATCACTTACTTAACACAATCATTACTTACTCTTCTTACAGTGTTAGATCAGTGACCAATGAGTTTTGAACTTTTTAACTTGAATGTATTTTTCTATTAAATTTCTAGAGCAGATAACATTTAATTCATGAAGAATTCAAGCACACAATTTTGAATAGCTGAAAATTTGTCAACAGTTACCCTTCAGGATGTGTTTAGACTGAAGTGTTCTAAAAATATGAACTATTGTCTTGATACGTTTGCTTACTATGTTTGATTGTTAAAAGATACTGACAAATCTATAGAAATGCAAGTTATCTTAAAGAAGTGTTGACTAAATTCAAATATTGTACAAATGAAATATTTAATGTTAATTTACAATTTAAAAAATCAATAAATCAACTTTTAAATCACAGATGAATATTTATGTCTCATTTCTTTACTAAGAGCAGATTAGTTACTTTTGGTTACAAAAAGCGGATTTTTCTCAGAAATAATTATGTGATATGAATAATCCAACTTCATCCCTCACCTTCTTTATGTATATGTTCTCATCTTCTCATGCTCTCCCCCCAAAAGTGTCATCTTCAAAATATCTTTCAATACATTTTAACTTTGTCTATATGTGGGATAAAACCAAGTCCAAGAAAAAGCACTAAATTTGTAATGCTGACCTGGCTGGGTGACAGCTGTTAACACTTTCTAGCCTGTGAAAAGAGAAGTATAAGAATGAGAAATGGAGGGAAGTCTCAGTCTAGCTGGGCTTGGTCTTCAGCAGCTCTCTTCACTGCTCAACAGATAAGGAAGCTGAGTAATATTTGGACAGTACTCAATTCATTCATAAAACTGAAATGCAAATGCCAAACAAAGTCTATTAACAGAATAGTGTTGATGAGAATGAAATGAGTCTCCTGTAGTAACTTACTGCAGTACTACACTGGGACACTTGGCATTCCTTAGGAACACTGATGGTATGGAGGCAACTCTGATACAAGCCTACTAGGAGATGCTCATGCTCCTGTTAACAGGTAACAGAAGCCAACAATTGCAGAAGGTGCACCTGATCCTTTGAATTGGTTGGTTCAGTATTCCTTTTTTCCTAATTAGGTTGACTTGCTCATTAAACGGATATCTTGTGAAAACTATTCCTTGACTTTCATTTGTACTCTATGGAACACTTACTAAGTGCATTAAAATGTGTAGAACTCTCTGGAATTAGTATGATCGTGTAAGTAATAATGTCCATTTTCTTTTCAGAGTAGGGCTTGTTAAAAAACATTCTATGGTTATGCCAGAGTCTAAAGAGTATTTGATATAAGGAAAGATTATATTACAGGCAACATAGTAAATAAGTGCTTGGAGATAAAATCATTATCTATTTGTACATATAACAACAATTTGTGCTTAGCATTGAAGCAAGAAGAGAGAGATGAAAATACCAGAATCTAATGATTCGTCATTGAAATGATATTAAACATTTGTAAATATGAAGCATGTACCATTCAGAGAGATTTACGTACAAAAAAACCCAACTCTGCATATAACTTCCATTTCTAAGAACCAGCCATTGTAGTTAACATTAAATGTGTCATTAATATTTTCCATATAAACATTTTAATAAATGCTTATCTTTTATTTTTGAAATTAATGTTTAAATCAAGCAGACATTTATTCCAAAATTATAAAAACTCATATAATTGAGAGTTTTTGTAAGTACCTTGGTCATACATTAAAGGAATGTTTGGTTAAGTGTTTGAGATCATCTGAATTCTTAGTGAAGCCCCTGGTCTACATGCAGCAGTGCTTTTTTTTTTATTATAAACATGGATTTTCAAATTTAAACTAACTTATTTTGAATTAACTTAACCCTATTGAAAAGGTATAAAAATTTTTTCACTTTTAAGAAAGAAAGTAGAGTAAACAATACTTTCAAATAATTACACCTAAGGAAGGACTCTTGGACTACTGGACATTTTCATTAACCTTTGACCCTAGGTAATGACCATCCACAGCTCTTCTCCAGGGCAAGAGATCACAAATGATATCTAGGCCATAGGCATAATTTATATTTGCTGCCCCATTCTCCATCATCCAAATAATTGTTTTACTTTTAGAGAAAGTAATTTTTAATTTTTCAAAAAGCACAATTTGTTGAGCAACTACAGTTTTTAAAAAATTTCATTCGAGTCAATTACACTTTAAATATATGTATATCTGATGTTTCTGCGAAAGAAAATTACAGTTACATAGACCCATGTGTTAATTGACCCCACTTGCTGATATACCCATAGATGGATATAGCCTTTCCTCTTTCATGGCTCTTTGTGTGTCTGTGGAGGCCTGGTTAGGAAAACCATTCCCTCTCACTGAAGTCAGGAATGAAGGGCCCAGGCTCAGCCTGACTCTGGATTTTGAACATAATACTGCAGAGAGACTGCACACAGCATGTTTAGCTGCATTTACTTGAAGAGACAATGCACAATTCAGCATTTTAACTAGTTAGGCATATACTCCACCACCATCATTACCCAGTGGGGGGTAAAATATCTTTTCAAAGAATACATAAGGATGTTTAACAGAGAAATTCTTGCAGCAAATACTTCAATAGTTGTCAGAGTTGAATAAATGTGCAAAATGAGGTTGGGTCATGAGGCATTTTTATGTTGAAATCTGAATTCTTATCCCTAAACACCCCTATTAGCATGACAGGTTTGAGCTGAAATCATTCTCCTAATAAAAGTCCAAATATACCTGGACTTTATCCTAAGACTTATAAGGAGAAATAATAATTGCTTTATATAACCACTGATACCACTTTAACATTTGATGAAGATGTTAATTTATGGTTGGTTAGCAGTTTATGGCTGTCATTAGTTTTTCGGTTTGATCCACATTAGAAATCTATTTTTCTTTTTTCTTTTAATCTGTGATAATTATATAAAGATATGGTTATGTTTTATCTAAAATGTATCATTCCACTATAGCATTTCAAATTATTCACAGATCATAGTTCTTATATGTGCATATATGAATTTAAAAATACAGCAATAAAATGCTTGAAACAGATCATAAATTTGCTTCATGTTTTATTGCATCTGTGAATCAGGTTGAAAGACAAGGACAGCAACGGTCTTTGAGAAAGAATTAACCCTTTCCCAAGCTGGGAAGGAGATGATGTCATACGGAGCATAACTAAAGTCAACTCCCCATCAAAGTATCCCTGTGATATGTAAGATGGACATCTTTGGCAGGGGTGTGGTTGGGGTGGTGCTCAGTGTTTGAAACCGTCTTTCTTTCTGCACGTTGACCTTTCCAGCCCTGACATTTCCTTCCAGTGCTGCCTAGTCTGTATTTCTGTGTTACACAAGAGAACATGTCAGAAAGGGGGGACAGAAAGCAAACTCTCCCTAACTCCCTACTTCTCCCTCACCCCCCCATTTTGAGAAAATCCAGAAAAATATTAAAACCAGTATCACTAATTCAGAAAAGGTGACAGAGGGAGAAAGAAGAGTTTCCCTTCCCGATAAGGAAGTAAAACTTCCTCCAGATTTAAAACTGGAGCAAGCTCTCAAAACCCCTGGGGTTGGCTAAGCTGCAGAAGATGTGCCTTTAAAAGGAAGTGCCTGGAACTGAAATGCAGGGGGCTAGCCAGATCTGGCATCACCTGGGAAGAGAATTCAAGGCAGAGCGCCTGAAGTTCACTTTGTGTCCCAAGAAACTTGGAGATTGGACCACAGCGGGCCTGAGGGAGGGGCGGGAAATGCCAGTCTTTGGGAAGCAAGGGGAGAAAGGGGCCTCAGCAGCCCGGATCGCCACCCTGTCACTGGGCGCAGAGTGAGAACAGCTCTGTGGGTGCTCATATTGCTGACGCGGTTCAGTTTGTCCACCAAGCAGCTCTGGACAGCCTTCTCTTTGCTCAGGCTGAAGCTAGGTGACAAGCACTAGGTCTTGCCTGGGACCTGGGCTGGACTGGACTCCTGTTTATCCTTGGTAGCCTGCAGAATGCACACCAGTTGACCTGAAGAACCAGAGATCTGTTTGAGAAAAAAGGAACTCTGATCCTGAAAGTTGTTTGTACTTCAAATACTGGCATCACTACCTCTTAGTTTTCCTTCGTTCTCTGTGTATGCTTGTTAAGCTGAAAGGCAGAGTTTAAATCAGTCTGAAATTCATTGGCTTGGCCAATCCAGAGGCTCAGGAGTTACAAAGGCAGGCATAGATTGCAGGAGACAGGCTCAATTATTTCTTTTGCCCTCCCAACAACAAAATCGTAAATCGATGTAAAGTCCCTTAGCAGTGCATGATTTTCGTCTGATCTGCATTTTGGTTGAAAGAAGGCTCATTTTTGTTTCTGGCGCTCAGGTTTTGCGATTTGGTTTTGTGTAGAGGTGTCATTAAGTTCTTCCCTCCACTATGCCACCTTCCTCCCCAGGCTGAATCCCATTCTCATTAAAGGTTGGAAGAGGAAGCTGGGAAGCCTTCCCCCCTCCCCCAGCTCAGGATTCTTTACCTCCCTCTTTTCTGGAACACTGGCGGTCCTCGGTCCTCGGATCCTCACAGGCTCTGGCTCTCAGCCAGGCAGAGCCATCACAGTGTGCTGCAAGACCGGAAGTGAACTCTCATCACGATTTTTCAAAGTCTGGGAAGTGTATTATCTTTTTTCCTAGTGGTAATTAGTTACCATAGCATTTAATACGGAAATGTGCCCAGAGCACACCATTAACAGTTAAACGGAGGATTCAATTTAACACATGATTATATCTTTCATAAGTCATTGCTCTGCAACAGTCGCTGCCACTCTGCCAGGTCAGGTCCATAGGCAGGTGGGAAGGGTAGAAAGATTTGGTTTGGGTACCACTTGCCAAAAGTGCATGAAAAAGGCAATTCGGGGGGCCTGGGTTTTCTCTAGTGGATCATGGGCTAGTGGTAGGAATTGGGTGTAATTGCAGGAAGAAAAATTCCTGTACAACACTAGGTCATAGTAGGGATGCTCAGTGGTAGAGTGGCCAGAAAGAAAGAGCACTGCAGTGCGTGTGTGTGTGTGTGTGTGTGTGTGTGTGTGTGTGTGTGTGTGTGTGTGTGCTGTGTTGTATTCAGCACACCACAGGCACACACATCGACTCACCTCAGGGAAGAGGAAGGAAAAGTGACTTTTCCAAGATGTTCACTTGCAGGAACCTTAGCAAAGGAACAAAAAGAACAGTTGACGTGTCTTTCAGGCCTCAGTGGTGAACTGGTGCTAGAATTCAAGTGAGACTCACAAGATAAGTGGGACTCCAGTTCCCATGTGCCCATCCTCAGTCCTCCGAGGATCTGCTGGAGGGATGCCCCTGAGAAAGGGTCCTAAGGTCTGGTGGATACCCCAACAAGCTCTTGGATGAGCCACTATTGGCTGGCACATGCCCACACTTTTAG